CCCTGCAAGTGCAGCAAATGGAGGCACTTTCACTGAGGGGACAGGGAACTCGAAGATCAAAGGTGACCCGGCACAAAATTGAGATGGCCTAGCTAGTCGAACTGAAGCTCACTTTGAGTGAGGCTCAGCATGTTGCTAAAGCTGGGCAACATCAAACAGAACTTGCATATATATTACATTTCAAAATTTCATATTTTTTCCTGTTTCAGCACCGTGTTCGTGCTGTTTATTGGTATGCCTTTCGCTGCACATGCATGCATGCATGCTATGCAAGTAAAAGCAAGGAAATTAACAATTTAAAAAAAAAAAAAAAACAGCCAGCGAGAGCAGAGACAGAGCAGAAGAGAGTGAGACTGCAGATATTTTTAGTGCGAGCAGATATGTCAAAAGACTTCCAAGATCAATGTGTGCCGAGCATCGCTGTAGAGCTGAATGTTTTCCCTCCCTGCTGCTGTCTGGCTCCACAGTCAAAAACAGTGTTGCTACAAGGTGAAACAAAACAACTCTGTATGCTCCGGCTTCATCTCCCTTATTTAGTTTTCTCCTCCTGTTGGAGAAAATGCTGCTCAAATGCTTTCACCGCTCGTGTCACCCCACGCTGTCAGGGGAAGGTCAATAAAAATCATGGCGGAATGATTATAAAGTCAAACGGTATGATGTGCCGCATCTATATCGCAAATACACAAGAGACGCTGAGAGGAGCAAGGACACTGACGTGCTTTACAGTTATTTCCAGTGTGCTGAAGGGGCCAGCACACTATAGCATTAGGAGATTGTCCTCAGTGTGCCCTCTTGTGTGTATTATACACTAATCACATTATTCCTGTTAATGGGGAGGGTATCCACTGACAAGCCGCCATCATGTTCTGAATGCTCACCGGCCCCATCAAGGGACAACCGATTCATTCCGAGCCACAATGAAAAAGCCCAAAGGAATACAAAAACTACCCGAGCCCTTTATGTTATGTTGGTAAATCATTTGTCACACTATATTGTGTTTGCGCAAGCCGACTGTACCTGTGTGCCACAGCTGCGCAATGAGCATCGCTACCTGCTGATGACAGTGCAAAATACATTAATAAAACGCTTAACACAAGTGAGGCTGTGCTGTGGGCTGACTTACCAATTTACTAACAGAATGCACAGAGGAGAGCCCACATATTTCTCCCTCGAGGAGCTGTGACATAAAACGCTACGGCATAATAACTGGAACGCCCCCGCCCTCTGGCCAGTTATCATAAAAATGAATAATCCTTATCGCCACTTCGCACAGCCAGCTAAGATGAGCGGCAACAAAATTAGAACATAATCTTCCCGAGGGCCGAAGTATCAAGAGGACGTGATCAATAATGCCAGCAGTGGATATTTCCACATTTTCTTTTTTTTTTTAAAAAGGGAAGGTGAACTTCTCCGGGCAATTCCAATACAGCAGATGGCTTGTTATTGTCATTGGGGAACTTCAAATGGTGTTGCTTGGGTGTACAGACAAAACACCATTTCCCACAGACCCAATGTCGAGACCTAACAGCATCAAAAACCTGCAGACTGAGAACTGGATTTCTCACACAATTATTATACTAATCCCCGAATTGCAGTGAAAAGAATATGACTTTTAAATGCTAAATTTCAAGCAGTTTTTCTACATTTGGCATTTTGGAGGGATAGCCCTAACATGGTCATCTTAGGCACACAGCTCTAGCTGTGAACGCTGTCCCCCTACCCATCTGTGACTCAAGCTTTCTATTTGTGAAGGGTCAGCCAATCAGAACAAAGCTGGAAAGTGAGGATGGTGTTAAGGGGAAGGGAACTTTTTAGCTCCCTTCCCCTTAAGACAGCTTCTTTAGGACAATCGGTTACAAAGAGGCTCAATATAAGATAAGTAAGCATTATTTTGAAGTGCGAATAAATGTATGTAGTCTGACCTGGGCATAATGGTCATGAACACAGTGAATAAACTGCCTGCTAAATTCTTGTGATCACACAACGGTGTGTGCATAATCTCTTATAAGCAGGGTGTGCCTATGCTCACCGATGCATCGAGACGTCAATACAGCATCAGTAATGACATCTCTCCAGAGACCTTTGGCCTCGAGATGCTACGAAGCATGAAAGAGAGATGAAGGGAGACAAAGATGGAAGTGGGAGGGGGGGCAAGAGAAAAGGAGTGCAACAGAGCAGAATATGCAGGGCTTAATTAGTTGGTGATGGGCGATAAAATGTCACAAGAAGAAACAGAAGTCGAGGAGTGTTGCATACTGATGACTGCGGCAGCCTGAAATCTGCATCTAACAACTCCAGGTCCACTTAGAAGCTGGTTTTGACCTGTGCATGGGAGATTAAAGACAACACACATCAGCAGGACCACAAAGAGACTTTCACCTCCACTTCAACTCCACTGGGTGCTGTGTTTTTTTGTCAGCGTCCAATGCTACGGCAATGCATCGTCTCCATTTTTCCACGCTGCCAAAATCCAGTCTGGTGCAGACTGAATTAGAGAAAAATGACTCATGGATTTGACTTGAGCTTGGCTAGTTAGAAGACTACACAATAATACCGAGGGAAGTAAATAACCAAAGGCTTTATTAAACAATTGCAGAAAGCCGAGCCTACATGATTTCCCAGAGTCTATCTCAGCACAAATAAATTGCTCGATTCCTAAATATATCTCACCAATTCTCAGGAAGACTGTAAGTAAGTTGGCAAGACATGAAAAACACTTAATCGCCAAATTGAACAAACTCTACAACGCACGCAGAAACGTCTCCATTTAAAGCATGTGTTCAGCAGCACAGAACATCATCATTAGGCTTAAAAGTATTTTAGAATAAGTGATTTGTTGGAAATACAGGGTGCTGTTTGGCGAGATGTGACTGCTCCATCTCTGATTTATCAAGGCTAAAGGGAAAAAAAAACCCAACAGACTTTTGTGAGTAAGCCGCCTAAAAATGTCAGACCACTTTACAATGTCTTGAAGCCTTGACAGAAAGAAAGAAGCTGCAGTAGTTAACACAACAAACACTCCGCATTTTAAGAGCAGCTATCATTAAGTCTGTGCTCGCATCAAACCGCAGACTGTTCTTTGCCTCTTCTTCTAAAGGCGTCAGTATGTAGCATGCAAGGCTACATTTAAAAGGACTTTTCTTGAAACACAGATGTATTCGGGAAATTATCTGTGTCTCTCTTTTAAGATGAGCATTTGGGAGTAGCACTTCTTGCTGCCAGCTCCAGCATATGTGCATCTAGCAGCAGGGAAGTAAGACCGGGGAGGAGGTGAGAAAGAACTAAGAGTACCAGTGTTTTCCTCAGAAGTCTGGGATTAATTGAAAGTAATTAAGGAAGTAGGCATCTCTGCGGGGACTAGGGGCGGCCTCACCCCCACCCATCAATCAGCAGCTATCAGTGCTGAGCCTAAAACCAGCACAGTGGCAGTACATTGTGTACTGACATCACTTCTTAAGCGCTAATCGTTCATCGCCCCACTGAGCCGGGATAAAGTCAAAGAAAGTCCAAAGCTTTGCTGATGAGAAACTGACAAGCAAACTAAACAGAAACAGAAACTGTGGCTGGAAACTGACGAGGAAGAAAAGACGAAGTGATAGACATTGATACATAGCGCACCTACCGGAGCCTTTGAAAGACACAACTTCAATTCAATTCAGTTCATTTCATATAGTGTGAAATCAAAACAACAATATCGTGGCTCAAGAGTTGGCAGTACGTCTTGTAATCGGAAGGTCGCCGGTTCGAACGCCGGCTCGGACAGTCTCGGTCGTTGTGTCCTTGGGCAAGACACTTCACCCGTTGCCTACTGGTGGTGGTCAGAGGGCCCGGTGGCACCAGTGTCCGGCAGCCTCGCCTCCATCATTGCGCCCCAGGGTGGCTACAATGTAGCTTGCTATCACCAGTTACTTAGTTAGGGACTAAGTAAAGCGCTATACAAATACAGGCCATTTACCATTCACCTCATGGTACTTTATATATAAACAATAACAGAGAGAAATCCCCAACTATCAGATGACCCCCTACGATCATGCACTTGGCAACAGTGGCAAAGAAAAACACCCCTTTTAACAGGAAGAAACCTCCAGTAAAACCAGGCTCAGGGGAGAGGCGGCCATCTGCTCCACCTGAGGGGTTAGAGGAGGGAGAAGGGCCGAAAGCTCCCAGCACACAGTTTTTGTGCTAATGTTAATGAGCTTTGAAAGCATCAGGGCCTTATCTAGTATGCACCTCAGCACTTGACAACCAGGCTCTGTCATTTTACGTGATCTGTCACTTCGCTGTGGTTCCCAAACAATTCCATATAGCATAAATCCCACTACTAGTTAATCATGGAATATTTAGCTGTGCTGTTACCAGACGGTAGCGTTTTACTACAGCACCACGCACAACGAAGGACCCATTATTTCACAAATGTTTGAGCAAAACCTACAACCTACTGCTTTTCTCCACATACTGTATCAGAACAATATGTGCTCATAAAACTTGATTTTGACACAAATTTCCACTTTTTTCATAGCTACAGTATGTAAGGTCAAAATAGCATCATGTTTTACCCACGGAAAACACAAATATTGTGCCGTCAAAGAAAAGTCAAAGGCAGCTATTTTAGACGGATGGAAGATTATTTGAGTCCCAACGACCTGCTGTCATGGGAGGCTTAGCTACCACTGTGGTGAGCTAATCTATCCCTGTGCTTGGAGTGCTACAGACAAGCAGTGCTCGGTCCTGCATCGGTATGCTGCGGAGCGCTGCGGGGGGATATGTGCGAGGGATTAGCTTGAGTTAAAACTGTAATACAGGCTGGTGCAGCGAGAGGAAATCACTTGTCTGTCTGGTCTTTGTCTGCTCTGCATTACAGCAGAGGAGAGGGTCAACAGTTCACAAGATGAGCAGGCAGCGGAGGAACAGTTAACCCCTGTGAGCTTTCATAATGTCTTGTCATTACCTCATGGCAAGGTACGTGGAAACATCTGAAATAAAGTATCTTTGCTACCAACCTTGGCCTTGCCAGTGCTCTGCAGAATGTGAACCAGCGCGCACGCCATCTCCTCCTTGTTCTTGACGCTAATCCCAGGCTCGAGCACAGAGCACAGTAGCATGTAGTTATTGGTAGTGTACTCTGCAAATTCTTTGTACATCTCCATGGGAAGGATGTTCATGCTCTGATAGCGTGCCTTAATTCTAATCATGGGACCAGACGTCTTGCCCTTGGGCGGGTTCGGGGTGCTGACGGGATACCATTTCTCCACAAACTGTCGCCCGGTGACAGCTGCGACGGGGATGTTGATGAGTCCGATGTAGTTGTTTTTGTCTTTCTTTTTCTTCTTGTCTGTGTCTTTGTAGAGGTGGGCTGTGATGGTCTTGACGGCGGGAAGGTTGCTGAACTCAAAGTGCTCTCCCCAGAAGACGTTGTCGGTCTTGAGCTTGCAGGTGGTGCGGGCGTAGAGCGAGTCGTCGAGGCAGAGCTCACAGTAGTATTTCTTTTTGGCCGGCAGATCCTTGGCTTCGATGATCCACAGCCTCAGCATGTTCTCGACCCGTCGGCTGTTGTCCTGGAGACGGAAGATGACAGGAAGTAGTTTGATCAAATTTTTAAAAGCAACATGATAAACATAATTTACTGAATAAAAAAAGGCAGTGAACAAATCCACTAAACAAACCACATAGTTGGAAAAGCAAACTGATAAAATTCGAGATCAGACCCCGACAGGGAAGTCTCACCGCTTCAAGAGTCAAAAACAACCTCGGCAGTATTTCAAACATTTCACTGAAGCAATTTAAAAACTTCCCTTTCTCCCTTCCATTCCCGATCATTAAAGAGCTAAGAAATATCCTACATTATTTCACAGAGTGCTAACCCATTCTTATGTCATCAATTGATTTTGCCAAGAGCGGGCATATTTTTGGCCCATTATTCACACTGCCTTTGAAAACTACCTCCCAAAAAGAAGAGAGGAGATAAGAATTACATTATTTTTAAAAAAAGAGGAAAAAAAAGAAAAAGAAGTGGCAGAGCGTCTTACAATCACGAGAACTACTTTAGATCTCTGGAGTGCTCAGAACTCACCGGTATCTGAATACGTTTCACTTTTTTTTTAATGGTGCAGTTAAATTTCGTTTACGCTTCGTGTTTCTGTTGCTCTTCATCTTATTTTTGATGTCTCCGCCATTCATTTAAGTGCAGCTACATGAAACGGGGAGCTGAAATTTGAGGCACTAAGCTGAGTTACAGACACCTACAAAGAAAAGACGGGCCTTTTTTTTTTTCCTCCCCAAGGCTTTTTAACTTGCTTCTATTTGTAACTGAAAAACATACATATGTCTCTATCAAAATATCATCGTGCTCTTCTACATATTGCCTGGTTATGTCACAGTCTTACATAAACCTTCAAGGAATGTCAAGGGATCGCACTTGTGTTCCTTTCCAGGTCCGTCCCCCACAAATCTAGAGAATAAACCCTCCAAATGATGAGCACTTAACTTCCTTATTAATCTCTCCAACAGACGGCAAATATCTTGACTTGCGTGATTCATGTGCTGAGTCACTGCGCACATGATAATTAAAGCACAGTTCTACCATTTGACGTAACCAAGCAGGAAATTAAAAGGGTAATTAAATATGCTGCTGTTTGCTCTTTAAAAGCGTTTTCATTCTTCAACTGCAGTTCGGTTAGCCTTGATAAAAATACTTAGGTTTAGAAAGAAAACAATCACACAATTGGTGTTTGCCCAGTGAGTGCACTGAATGTTTTTGCTTTCTACAACTGATTGCAAGTGGTTGACCTTAGGCTGAGTGTGCAACGCCCTCAACCTCTGGACAACCAACTTTCACTCGCAATTTTACTCTTCAAATCTATGAGGCTTTGGCAGTATTCTGAATGTAAGTAGCTAATGGGAATTTCTCTGTTTGTAGACGACAAAGGATTTCCAGTTTTCACCTTGTTTATCTCAGTTAATCACCTCATTATCATAAAGAGCGCGCACCGAATTACAGACTAATTGCAAACTTGACCCAATTTAATTGCAAACTGATTGCAGACTGTCTTTTTTATTGCGTTTTCGTCACCATCTTGGTGCCTCAAAGTTGCTTTGAAGATGGCAACTGGCTGCAAGCGGTCACAAACCTGGTCTCAACCTTTCAAGCAATTATTTCAAAGGCAGCTCAATCTCAAGTTCCTTGTTCACAGTCACTATAATTGTGCTCCTGCTGCAGTCTCCAGCCACTGCCTTCCTTAGTGACTGTGATCATTAGGAAGCCATTCTGGCAGAAAGATCCGAGTGCAAACTGTGTGCAGTAGCCTTTATGTAACCAAAACTGAAACTGCTTTTTCACCGAGATGTATGATCTTAAAAACGCCATAGTTTTCTTGACTGTCTAACCTGGTATAGGTAATATCATAGTAGTGGTGGATTAGTGGTAGTAGATATATTTAAAGTGCTTTAGAGAAAAATTACGAAATAAAGTTTAATTTTTAAAAACATTTGCTAAAAAAATGCATTTCATCCACTCAAAACACACATATCAAAAGGGCTAAGACAAGGAACATTCCAGAGCTATTTAAGAACCCCTCCACACCCCCAACGCCCCCACTTCTCCACATCTAATTAATGAGTAATTTGCTAAATAATGACGGATGAAAGAGTGAAGAGGCTGAGTGAGCAGGACTATTTCCCTGGCTTAAAATGTTTGCCACCTTCCCCTTGTCACAGCTGTTTGTCAGGATCCCAGATGGTACTGAAACATAAAAAGCTCTTTACATGTTGCCTGTATGCCTTCTTCATCAAACCTGACGTGCACACATCGGATTCTTGCTGCGTGAGTTGCAACACAGTGTAAACTCTGTATGGCTCTGTCCTCATCACTGTTTCAAAGTGTTTGGAATTGAAACACTAGTGTATGAACATATTACCACTGAATACTTCACACCCACTGTGTGTTTTTGCATACTCACCTTGTTTGGTTGTACAGCCCTCCTCAGATTCTCCATCCATTTGTCTCTTTCGGCTGCTGAACGGCATGAGAAACATTTGCTTCCTGTGGAGGTAGTGACCTACCACAGAGAGAAGGGAAAATTTAAAATGCTTTGGTGATACTGTCAGAAAAAAAATAGAACAGTGAAGGTTTCACTAAAACTTTGCTCATAAATACCACAGACAGCAAAAGAATGGTAGGAGCATCTTCAGTCTCCTTATGTGAGAGCTGTTTTTGAAACTGGATGGTTTAAAATAAGCACAGCAGGATGAATGGTGAACAGAGCACAGGGCAGAAAGTTTAGGATAGTATTGGGTCGCTTCCCTCCAAGAAGCTCCCTTCTTGACAATTCAGCCCTTAATGCAGTGATTAAAGACAAAGTCTGTCATAATTTGTTTTGAATTTCTCTGCTCCAACAACAATAATTACAAGACATCAAATTTCATGTAGTAATTAAAGAAACTGCCCACTGTACTTCCATTGATTTTCTGTAACTAGAGAAAAGTCATCAAGAGTTAATCACAACATTGTGTGTTCCACAATAAAGAGAAGTTGGCTCTATCATGACTTTTGATTGCGACTGGTCATCAGCAGCTCATAAAGAAGGAGATTTACAGCAAAGACAGGGGATTAGAGGACTCGCTGGTTCCAAAAATATTCCTGCTAGAGGCTGAATGATATAGGCTTTTTAAGACAGATACCAACACCAATATTTGGGGACTTAGAACTCCAATATATCGGCTGATATTATGAATCATGAACAGATTTCCATTACATTTGTTATCTTTAGTTACTTATGAGTCTTTCTCAAGATAATATGGGAATGCAGTTTAAAAATAATGTCATTTTATTTTGTCTTACTTGTTCACGCTCTGCTCGATTCTGCTGGAATCAACTGCTTGTTGCGTTTGTGGCGTTTCAAAGACGGGTTGCCAAATGATGACACCAATATATTTGCAAATAGCTAATATTGTCCTACGGACTCTATTTCCCAAACTAATGATTAAAATTTGTCAATTAGTAAACTATGGCACAGGGGGGCTCCTGGATAAATAGCAATACTAAAGATTTGTTGTGACCATTAGTTTTAATTAGCTTTTTCTCAGCTTTTGAGTATTATTATTGTGTAGATATGACAGATGGCACTGAATGCCCAGGAGCTTCAGCTAGTGTTGTTGCTAGAATAATATTAAAAAAATGTACCAAGCAGTTCCAGATTCTTCTTTCTAGCTTTAGTTTTTCTTATGTGATCTGAAACTAAAATCTTGGGGGCGAGGGGCAGATTAAGGAAATACTCAGCAAAAAAAAAGTCCTACTTTGAGTTGAGAAAAAGCCAGTTAAGGGTTATAGCAAACCCAAAATAGCGTGTTGTGGTAACTGGGAAAACAACACAGAGTCGTTACTTCACTCGAACTACAAATAAAGGCAGGCTCATTAAAATTAATGAATATTTCAGCTGTTAGCTTATTCTGGGATTCTGCTGCGCATGCAGAAAAGCTGCAGAACAAACTGTAAATCCAAAAACTGACTTTTCCTGTAAGCTCAGCTTTGATGGCTGCCAGCATCTGGATGTCAAATTCAGATACAGTTGATGACTGTCAGCTATGTGTGTAGTTGTAGTAAGTACATTAACTATTGAATTATTTTATTTCACAAGCAAAGCAGCATATAGGCTGTGTGTGGATGCATATAGCCCCCCCGTCCCCCCGACATCCTCTCACCTCAAAGCAGTAGTCTTGCCCGAGGATGCTGCTGTGAACGGGCTTGATGATAACCTCGTCCTCCATACTTAGGTCCAGGGCTTCCACAGCGCTGCTGGGGCTGAGCAGTGATTCATGGGAGCGGGACTCCTTCAGCCTTGGCATCAGATGAGATCTAAAAGCGGAGAAAGAAGAAGAGAAAACTGAATCACCCTGCCGAGTTTGACGGGCAGGAGCGAGAGAGGAAGCATATGGGCCGCCCATAACAGCAAGCGCGAAGGAAGCGAGCGCGAGGAGGACGAGGAGAGGATGCTCCACTTGCCTTCGAGTCAGCCGACGAGTTCGCACGCTGCGCTTATATCGACACATTCACGCAGCCACTTCTAAGCACGGCGATAGCAGATGCTTTGTGGCTCCTCATTTACAAGTTGGAGCATCAATGAATTAATGAAACGAGCTCGGAGGATTGACTCAAGCTGTTCTGCCAACTAATGCAGCAGAACCACCATAAATAGGAAGTTAAGCATTTTACAGATTATCATTAATGTTCAGACATCCGTGATGCAATCATCTTCCACCGCTATAAACCCGCTTCATAGATGCTTTTTTGGACTTCCATTTAGGACCCAAAACACAACAGCATTCTCTGGCTCAGAGTGCCCTTAGAGAAACGTTCAATAGTTTGTCAAAGACGGCCCCTAAGCCCACAATTCACAGGCATTTTTTTTTTTTTTTAGCCAAAGAAGATTAAGAGACAAAGTAAAGAGCTTTCCACTGTTTGCTGTGTTTGATGTTGCCCTACTTTGTCTTTACAGAAGAGTTGGATTGAGTGTCACTTATGACGAGCAAATGTGTCTCTACGCCGTGTATATATGCTGGTGAGCAACATTAATTTGAGATTTCCACATCATGAAGTCAACCAACATCATCCAGAGTCAAAAACAAGCACTTAGCGCTCGCGTGTTTCCTTTAACCACTAACCCTACGATCCCCACCGCATCGCAGCTGGAAGAGGATGAAAAGTTAAATACTGTAACATCAGTGAGGGCTGCACGCAGCAACAGGCACGCTACATAACATCAGCCCCTGATGCTCCAATACTCGAGAGGAAGATGAAGACAAGGGTTCAATTGCTCATGTAATGAGTGAGAACAGTCTTTTAACAGTGCCCTCTATGGACGGCTTACACACTAATCCCATGCATGTGTGCGCGCGTGTGTGTGTGTGTGTGTATACTGTACATATTTTCAGCGGAGTAGAGGAAGAGCTTTTCAGGAAAAATGCAGCAGCCGTAATGACAGATTAGTGACTGCGTGCGGCCCTTTGTAGAGTCAGTCAGCTTTGTTGCCAAATCCTCTGTGCAATGTGAAGTGGATAATGACCTGGACACTGTGCTTTTTTCCCCTTTTTTTTTTAACTTAATAACAAATGCACACACACGCACACATACACAAGTGTACAGAGGAAAATGCCATCCTGTGAAATAGAAGAAAAGAATACAACAAGGTGCAAAATACAGAAAAAAGGAGAGGAAAAAAAGCCTAAAGGATAGCTCTGAATATGAAAATCCAGTTTTAGAAGCTCTTACTCCCCCAGCACAGCTGGAGAGGAAGTGACTTTGCACCTTCCTCTGCTTTGTGATTGGCTGACAGGGTACTGGGCAGAACAGAGAGCAAGTAAAATAATCAGAAAGGAGGGGAAATGGGGATTTTTTCTTTCTCTTGCTTTTTTTTTTTTGGTGGGATGTTCTGTCAGAAACAGGAAGGGAATGTCCACGGACCACAGTTCAAACTCCTAAAGCTGCACGGATGATTCTAAGGGAACTAACTGCAGGAAAACAATCCGTCAGAGCGCTGCTTTAATGAACTCGTAGCACGTGCATTTCTCATACTGAGGCAGAGGTGAACAGGGAGCGTGAGCATTTAATCTGTAAAAGAATGATCCAGAATTTGACTAAAGTACAGAAGAACTGCCTCAGAAAGAATGCACTGCGTCCCCTAAAAGGCATCCATTTCATTCTTACATAATGACTCTTTTTTTTTTTCCTCTCAGCATATTGTATTAGAAGAACATTAGTGTCAGCGAGAATTGTGCCAGACTGTGAAAGTATGAATTGATAAATAAATATGCTGCCTGTCATCTGTGTGGCACTGTATTAAACTGTGCCGCGACGTGTAATTTACAGCCTATTGTGGGCCGCTTCACCATAACGACAGTAAAAGAGTGTCTGACGTCTGAATCCTGTTCATAACGTCTACATCTGACAAAGCCTTTATGCCAACCTCCTGCAAATGACAACCTGCAATACAAGCAGGACATGGTGCTTTCTCCTTTTCATTCCTACCACCCTCAGCTTCAGCCATTATAAGAAAACGTCCTTCTTTGTCCTTGGCAATCCTTCAGTAACTTGTATCTACGCTTCCCTTCATCTGTTTAGGTGGGGGTCCACGTTTCACATCGACTACCTGACACATATCTTTCCAGCGCTTTCTCTAAGTTGTGCTTCAGATTTGTTTCACTCACTGTGTTCTTCTGGCTTTCTTTTTAAATATTACAGATATTTCAAACCAGTGGCTCATAACGCAAGAAAATAAATATGCAGAAATACGTGCTCGTGTAACGCTTGATTTCGACTTCCGTGGGGGAATGCATGTTGTAAGCTATGACATAACTGGAAACCCCTTTTAACCCCTAAGCCATAACCTTGCACGTAACCTGATGTGCAACCCCCAAGAAATGTAACTGTAGTCCCGGACAAGTAGCCAGGATAATAAATACATTCACATCGACAAAAGAGGATTGCATTTTTAATCAACCAAGTACCTCTTATGTGATGGAAGGCATGACGGCCCCCTGTTGGGTTTTTATTAGATGCTAAAGTTTCGAGATGTTGCCAACATGAACCAGAGTCTCCCGTCTGGATTCAAACTGCAGACTTTACATGTTCATTTAAACCCATTTTGATCCTTTATGTTTTTGTCTTGGATGAGAAACAGTTTTTTTCCTACCGTTACTGTTAAACCAGCTTCTACCTGCACCTTTTTCTTTTCTCAGCTTTTCCACTTCAGCCAAATTGCAGAATCCTTTTTCTGACTGCAGAGCAAAATGTATCAACAACAACAACAATCCGGGTGGTTGTTCCGCACATTTAAAATAGCCCCCCCAAAAAACAAAAAAAAACCAAGGAGGGATAGAGACTGGTGAAAATATTCTTCGATCGGCGAGCGCTGTGTGGGAAAGCAAAGCTGCTGCTCTTCCAGTACGTAATTGTCTCTGAAGGACTGTTTAAATTTCTTTTTTTATAATCCCAGAAACCTGGTAGTGTAGCTGTACATTCACTATTTAGGAATTTATGCTGCTGCATCAGGCCAAATCCCATCAGCCCACTGTGAGAACTAGACAGACTGTGTTCTGCTCTGCCAGCCCTAATACTGACTCCTAACTGAGTTTCCATTGAACCTCGGCAGAGTAATGGATCCTGAGTGTGTCTGGGCTTCACCCAGTGCGCTTTGTGTCTGCATCCTGTAAAGAGAGTTCATCAGATAGGCTGTCTGGGCTCCGATACAGTCTGAAACATCAGGCGCTTATAGGCGTCAGTGTACGTAGACGCATAACACTGCACTGGCTACACCGCAAGGGAGTATGTTTGTACTGGGAGCTCGAGATAGGCTGAATTAATGGAGTGCGACGCAAAGAAACAGCACTCTCAAAATCCACATCCCACTGAGCTACTACAAGAGTTTGCTTTGTTTCACTACAATCATATGAACTACAACAAAAACACATTAACGTGCACGTGAATTAGTGCTAATCTCCACATGGGAAATAAATGCCCTCTTTGTGTTGTCGTTCCAATAACCAACAACCAGAACGAGCCAAAAGAGCAAAGTTAACCCTTCCAACATGACGAAAAACAATAAACCCAGGCAGGGTGTTAAGTCTTCTTGATTTTGGCGGTTACTGTGGATACCACCCCCACGTCCAGTGTTTACACAGCATTTAGTTAGTCCAACATTCACAACAATCGATACTCTTCCAACTTGCATGCTGGCACGACAGTTAGTTGTTAATCGTCCTCTCTACCAAGCACACAAGAGACAATGTTTAGGTAAACATATTAGCAACCACAGCCAATCAAAGACAAAGGATGACAAATTAGTACTTGCTAAATTTTTGATGCCATCTAACTCATTCTTTCAGAAGCGAGATGAACTTATTTTATTCCAAAGTAATTGTGAGACATTATCTAGCCAAACTTAAAAAAGAGGCAAAGACACATAAAGTTAAAAAGAATTCAGGAGAGAAATGCATACAAGTTTAAAATATCTGTGTATGGTTTCTGATGGAAAGTTGGAAAGCGATTCAACTTTTACAGCAGGAGCACAGAGGGTACAGACGGTTGAAAAGTTGCCTATTATCACTTTAACTACGATGTGTGCCTTTGTGCAACTATAAATACTGTCAGCAAAAAAAGAGAAACTCTCTGTATTAAGAACAAACATCAATACTGTTGGACTGCCTGCTCTATAACCGATCGATTGGCTACAGGATCGAGAAAAAAAAAAGTCCATAAGGGGGTCTAAGATTATCCATAAGGGGTTAGGGTTAGGGTCATTATGGTCATTCATTATCCATAAATGAATTACAAACAAATATAAAAAGGTAGTTTTGCAGCGTCAATCCCGAGCAGTAGATTCCATTGTGTCCGTTCTCGTGATATGATTTTTCTATTCTGATGAGCGAAGGCTTTGCATCCAGCATGAGTGTAGCTGTCAGAGCTATTCGAGATGCTGCTCGATGTGCCTGCAGTTAGAAAGCAGGTATAAGCCACACTTATTGAATTATATGGTAAATGGCCTGTATTTGTATAGCGCTTTACTAGTCCCTAAGGACCCCAAAGCGCTTTACATATCCAGTCACCCACCCATTCACACACACATTCACACACAGGTGATGGCAAGCTACATTGTAGCCACAGCCACCCTGGGGCGCACTGACAGAGGCGAGGCTGCCGGACACTGGCGCCACCGGGCCCTCTGACCACCACCAGTAGGCAACGGGTGAAGTGTCTTGCCCAAGGACACAATGACCGAGACTGTCCAAGCTGGGCTCGAACCGGCAACCTTCCGATTACAAGCCACGAGCCACGATCGCCCCATAGGTTGAAGTTGTAAA